GTCAACAGGGAAACGACAAAGCCAGACAGTAACGGCGACAACTGTTCTTGGCCCCAACGTAAGTCGCCTTTTTCACGTTATGGATAACCTGACCCACAAGCGTTTCTTAGTCGATACTGGTGCTGAAGTCAGCGTCTTACCGTTTTCATCTAAGGAACGTCATTGAACCACGGCTCTTACACTTCATGCGGCAAACGGATCTCGAATATTCACTTATGGCCATCGTTCCATGACGCTTAACCTAGGTATTAGACGCACGTTTCGTTGGGTATTTTTAATAGCCGATGTATAAATTGCTATACTAGGGGCTGATTTTCTCACACACTTTGGTCTTCTAGTAGATGTGAAAGGTCGCAGGCTGGTGGACCAAGCAACCAATTTGAGCATCGCTGGAATCCAGTGCTGCACAAAGCCTCCTGCAATCAAGGTCCTCACCCCCGATTTAGCTGGCCCATTTGCTGCCCTGATCAGGGAATACAAAGACTTATTCCAACCCTCAGCTTTTCCAACGCTACTGCATCACGAGGTCACACACAACATTCTCACCACCAAGAAAAACCCTGTGTCATCGCGTCCTCGTCGTTTAGCACAAGACAAGCCGGCTACAGCCAAACGTGAGTTTGAGCACATGCTCGAGTTGGGCATTATACGTCCATCTAGTTCTTCTTGGGCATCACCTCTTCATATGGTGGAGAAGAAGACCAGGGGCGATTGGCGACCTTGTGGAGACTATCGGGCGCTTAACAAGGCCACCGTTCCAGACAAGTATCCGGTACCCCACATACATGATTTCGCCTCGACCCTGGACGGGAAGACTGTTTTCTCGAAACTCGACCTTGTCCATGATTATAACCAGATACCATTAGCCACTGACGATATACCGAAAACGGCAGTTACCACTCCTCTCGGCTTATTCGAATTCTTCCTAATGCCTTTTGGTTTACGCAATGCTGCCCAGACCAACGTTTCAACATATGACACAGCTACAAGGAAAGAAGGCGCTAACTGAGAGCATCCTCAAGGAGTTGTGGTTGCAAAACCTCCCTGGGGATATAAGGAAGGTCTTGTCGGTTGTTGACAAAGACACAAGGCTGCCAAAATTGGCCGAATTGGCTGACCAAGTGTCTTCATGCTACGGTACTAAGCTTTCTCCTCCAGTGCAATCAGTAGCTATGACTTCAAACACACAGGCCAACGTTGAAGCTTTGAGGCAACAAGTTTCAGAACTTTCTCCACAGATCTCCCAAATTTCCGCCAAACTAACTCACCGCTCTCGCTCAACTTCACGCTCTCATCCTACACGTTCACGTTCATTCTACAACCGTGATGAGTCTACCTGGATCTGCCGATGCCATCGAAAGTTTGGCTAAAAGGCACGTGATTGTGTCAAACCCTGCAACTTACTTTGTCAACGGGGAAACGACAAGGCCAGACAGTGACGGCGACAACTGTTCTTGGCCCCAACGTAAGTCGCCTTTTTCACGTTATACATAGTGCAGTCCTTCAGACAATGAAAGATGCAAACTTTCAACGTCTCACATTTTTTCCAAACGTCTACAGCACGTCTGGGCGAGAATTATTAGCTATACATATGGCAATACTCCATTTTCGACATCTTTCAGAGGGTCGATATTTCTCAGTTGAACCATAAAATAAACCATTGATCTTCGCTCTCCAAAGTACGTCCGATCGATATTCTCCCCGTGAAAGCCGGCAGCTGGCATATATATCTCAATTTGCGACTGACATCCGTTATATTGAAGGTAAATCAAGTGTAGTTGCTGATGCACTTTCACGTATGCAGATTGAGTCTTTAGGCTTTACGGAGTTTCCCCTATCTAAACTGGCTGTACATCAAAAGAGTGATACTGAACTTGTGCAGTCTTCTTTTCCGTCGCTAAAGTTACAGCAACTTTCTGCATCCAATTCAACCGAAAGTGTCACCTGCGACATCTCCACAGGTTCTCTCAGACCATTTACACCTGCTTCGCTCCTTCGGGTGATTTTCAATCAGTTACATAATTTGTCGCATCCAGGTATCCGAGCTACTTGGAAGCTTATAAGCGATGGGTTCACGTGGCCTAATATTGATAAGGACATTACTAGGTGGGCTCGTGAATGTATTGCATGTCAAGAGAGCAAAGTTCATCGACATACTGTTACTCCTCTCGGTCATTTTTTCAGTCCTGATAGTCGGTTTAGCCATGTTCACATAAACCTTGTTGGCCCGTGGCCTCCGTCAAACAATTTTTCGTATGTTTTCACATGCACTAATCGTTTGACACGCTGGTCTATCGCCATACCGATCAAAGACACACTCCGAAACCGTGGCTTAAGCTTTTCTCGAGTCATGGATTGCCCATTAAGGAGTACCAACAACAATCACTACGGACCGCGGTCCACAGTTCCAGTCTTCGCTCCTTCGAGGCCTTAGCTGTCTCCTTGGCTCGACGCACATCCACACTACCGCTTACCACCCGTGTGCCAACGGTTTAGTCGAGCGTTGCCATCGGCAGCTTGAGGCAGCATTGATTGCTCATGGTAATCCTCAAAATTGGACGGAGCATCTCTCGCTCGTACTTTTGGGGATCCGATCTGCAGTGAAAGAAGATTTAGGCTGTTCGACCGCCGAAATGGTTTACAGCAGCCCTCTCCGACTCCCCGGCGAGTTTGTTGCTGAGCAGAAGGAAGCAGTGAGA